CCGGCCACCCGTGTGCATGCCCTCGCTCGCCCGGCAGCCGTATACCCACCAGTGCCCCACGCTGTGCCCCCTGCTGCCCGCACACCTGCATGGTACCTTCCACGGGGAGGGCCACGCTGCCTCCCCTTAGTGCCCCCTGCTGGACCAGGCTGGGCACTGCGGCGAGGCCCATCTGCCCTGGAGACTGAATTTCTCTGCCAGGCCACGGAACAAGAGCGGCTCCTTTTCCCCCCCTTTGGCCTCCCTCTCTCTGAGCTGCGGTGCTGCCTCTGTGCAGCCTGGGGGCCGGCTGCTCCACGTGGCTCTGAGCCTCCTGCCCTCTCTCTGGCACCCCACCCCGTCCTCACAGTGTGGGGTCGGCATGCAGGGTGGCTCAGGACGTGATGATCCTCCCCCCCCCCCCCCGCAGGGGCCTGGCCGGCTCCCGACGCCTGTTTCCAAGACGTCAACACGGCCGGCGACGCCTACGGGAACTGCGGCACGGACAGCCAGGGGCACTACGTGAAGTGCAACCGGAGGTGAGGGCGGGGGATTCACACCCACACGTGCAACACGCCAGCTTAGTGAGTGTGATCACCGTGCCCCCTAGCTTACTGCCCACGCCTCGCTCCTGGAGATCCCTGGATGCTCAGGGAAAAGCCCCGGGTGCACCTGGCGCTGAAGGTTCCGAATCCAATTCTCATGTCTACAACATGTGTGTCTGGGCTTCCCGTATCCCCAGCCTGGTATTTTAAATTCCTTCCCTCCCTCCAGGAGGCCGGGCTCAGTTCCTCCTCGCATGCAGAGCGGTGTCTACCACTCCTGCAGGAACAATCCGTTGCACACATGCAGAATGGGAACCAACTGTCTAGTGAATGGGGTTTGGGGTTCCCGTACCCCCCCGTGTGCCTCTTGCACCAGGCGTCCGAAGAAGTGGGTTTTGCCCATGAAAAGCTCATGGCACTATATGTATTTTCATTGGTCTCTAAGGTGTTGCAGGACGTCTAGTTTTGTAAGGGGGTTTTATTTATTTAATTGTTTTGTCTAGGAAGGAGTCCTGCAGAAAGGGATCTAGGGGTCAGAGTGGACCACTAGCTCAATAGGAGTCAGCAGTGTGATGCTGTTGCAAAAAACCAGACATGATTCTGGGAGGCATTCAACAGGAGTGTTGTGAACAAGACAGGAGAAGCCATTCTTCTGCTCTGCTCAGCGCTGGTTAGGCCTCAATTGGGGTGGGACTTGACTACATCCCTTTTCTCAAAAAGGGATGTACATTAGCCAGGATTTAAATTTCCTGTGCTTCATTTGCAATTTTGAAGTATCTGATGTACATCCCTTTTTTGAGAAAAGGGATGTAGTCTAGACTACATGGAGGTTAGGTCCATAAAAGGCTATTAGCCAGGGGATAAAATGGTGTCCTTGGCCTCTGTTTGTCAGAGGCTGGAGAGAGATGGCAGGAGACAAATCGCTTGATCATTGTCTTCGGTCCACCCTCTCTGGGGCACCTGGTGCTGGCCACTGTCGGCAGACAGGATACTGGGCTAGATGGACCTTTGGTCTGACCCAGTACGGCCGTTCTTATGTTCTTATGACACAGCCTTGGAGTCTTGTGTCCAGTTCTGGGCATCACATTTCAGGAAAGATGTGGAGAAATTGAAGAGAAAGTCCAGAGAAGAACAACAAAAGTCATTAAAAGTCTAGGAAACATGAGAAATGAAGGCAGATTGAAAGAAATGTGTTTGTTTAGTCCGGAGAAGAGACGATTGAGGGGGGACATAACCGCTTTCAAGCACCTAAAAGATTGTTTCAAGGAGGAGGGAGAAAAATTGTTCTCCATAATCTCAGAGGATAGAACAAGAAGCAAGGGGCTTAAATTGCAGCCAAGGAGGTTTAGGTTGGACATTAGGAAAAACTTCCTCCTTCCTAGGATGGATAAACACTGGAATAAATTGCCCACGGGGGGTTGTGGAATCTCCAATACTGGAGAGATTTAAGAGCAGGTTAGACAGACACCTGTCAGGGATGATAGACGGTGCTTGGAATCTCTATCACTGGAGAGATTTAAGAGCAGGTGTGATGGGCTGAGGGCGTCCGCTCAGGGCGAATTGCTCAAACTCGGGGCTCCTTACAGCCCCCGACTGGAGTCCCTTCCCAAATAGGCCGCAAACCAGTCACGCCGAACGCTTCAGCTGCCAATCTGGCCAGCTGGAAGCCTCACAAGCAAAACCCCTCGGACATCCCAACTCTTCCTGTGTCCCAGTCAGCCCCAGGCCTGCTCACAGGTGAGGGGTTATGGAACCCGATCTCACCTATCCCGAACGGGTTCTTCCAGTCCCAAGAAACCAGCCACAGATCCCAATTAATTTACATTCTGGATCTTACCCACAAGACCACGCTGAGCCAATCCCTGAGAATCTACAATCTAAAGGTTTATTACTAAAAGAAAGAAAAGCATGAGAGTGAGGTTATTAAGGAGGATACATTACATGCATCGAATCTCCCAGTTCTCAACACAGGATACAGGCTCTTAGCAGAGATGTTACAAACTGCTATCTTAAAAGTCTCTGGTGCACATCCTATGTCAGGATGGGTTCATGGTTCTTCCCGGCTCGTTGTTCCCTGCAAGGCTGCATCTGGGATCAGGAGCTGAACTCAGGACCAAGATGGAGGGTGTCACATGGCACTTCTATACCTCTCCTGGCATCTTCTTGGCCAGAGAAGGTCACATGGTCCAATAACCTATCCCTGCTGGTCTGCAGGTATCAGTCTTGTTCCTGAGTTGTGTATTGGCACCTAGAGATTCATTGTCCTCTTGCTAATTAGCATAGCCGTGGGTTGAGCTTTCCTTGCGCAGACAGAGAATTTTCCAGCATCCACACACAGTCCCTGTTTCTAACCTCACATAGCTATTATACAAATACATGACTAGCATATACAGAATCAGTAGAACAGGCGCTTTCGTGGGACACCTCACATGGCCCGCTTTGTATACACTTTGGGGCAAATACCCCCCCGTGGGTGCGGCAGGGATCTGGCTGCTCCCCTTAAAATCCAGTAACGCGACAGCACCGTAGACAGACGCCTGTCAGGGACGGTCGAGATGGTGCTTGGTCCTGCTGTGAGGGCAGGGGACTGGACTTGAGCTCTTGAGGTTCTTTCCAGTCCTGCGGGTCTGTGACTCTGTGGGTGAGCGGCTGCACGTGTGTCCCCCTGGCGTGGCTGCCGCTCAGTGGGCGAGAGGCCAGTGAGAGCATCGGCCTGGAAACGGGTGCAAGAGGGGCAGCGTGTGAACTACCCAGAATCCCTTGCTCCTCCTACAGCGCGTCCTGATCCTCTCCGACACAGGCGGGGGGCAGTAACGTGATGAGTTCGGCTCGGCCGGCGCGGGCGCCCCCTTCGGTAACCGCGGTGCCTCCAATCCAGTGCCAGAGCTCGGCCAAAAAGCCCAAGCAGACCAACACCGTCTCCATGGACACCACCATCCGCTTTAACGGGCGGGAGGTGAAGTGCAGAGGGGCCTTCATGTACACCAACAGGGACGAGGAGGGCGACCTGCCGGACCCCGGCCTGGTGATGACGGGGACCAAGTGCGGGGACGGGATGGTACGCCGGCGCAGGACGCGGTGCTCCGTGGGGAGTCACCCAGCAGAGCCCGGGGCAGGACAGTGATAAGGGGGAGGGGTGGTGC